TATAGAGCGAGAAATCTCATTAAGACGCAGCTTTTCAAGAATAATTTACCTTTTAAAAACATAAAATGTGGCAAACACAAATATGTCAGTAGTGTAACATCTAGCTGTGAAACATGGAGGCAGCCTTGGATCCCTTTAGCCCTCCTTCTCCTTGAGGCTGCTGCCGTTCTGCTCCGCGCCGCCTCGCTGCGGCTCCGCTAACAGCCACACCTTGCCTTTAAGCTGGCCGCAGAGGTAGGCCAAATCCTGTTTGTCCAGAGAGTGTGCCAGGCCGACGTAGGCCGACAGCGTGCCGGCCAGCAGGAGCCTGTCCAGGGGAAAGGCCGGCAGCAGCCACAGGATGACGACCAGCTCCAGGCAGACGGGGTGGCGGAGGTGGGACAGCAGGCGCTGAGCCGGGGCTGGCTTCTGGGACCAGGGGTCCCCCAGACCCAGGCACTCATAATACACCTGGGAGGAGAAGAGTTTATCACTTATAGGCCAGTCGCAATAAACAACCAATTAACTGAACGTCAATGTCAAATTTATTTAGGAATCACTTTTCAAAACAGGTTCAAAACTGCACCAAAGTGCTGTACAGAAACAATAACACAATAGAGAGAGAATAAAAATAAGTAAATAAAATCAAAATAAAACATCACAACAGAAAAATTACACTATCAGGCCTCAATTAAATTCCAACAAATAAAAATAAAAATAGTTTTAAGAAGCGATTTAAAATGACCCAGACTGTGGGCAGAGGACGGTAAATTAAAGAATTTCCACTTGCAAGATTTATTGTTTTTCTCTTTTCTCTCCAAAAATTCTCTACCATCCAATTTTCTACCGAAAACTGGATGATAAAAGTCTAAAGCTTTGGCATCAACTAGCCCTTTTTATTGAAGGACAATTTTATAATTTCATAATTAATTTTAGTTTTTGTTGCTTTGTTTATTCATTTTGGATGTTTAAAATATATATAAAAACAGCCAAAGTGCTTACAAAAAAGAAGAAGAAAAAAGAACATAGTTCTGTTTTGGCAATAAGTTCATGTTTTTTAGTGTTCGCAAAATGAGTCATTTTAAAAACCTCCAAACAGTAAAGTTACATTCCATGGGCACTGAACCGTTTCCTAGCAACCCCAGATAAGTCCCGTTACCTAGCAACCACACTGAGCTCCGGAACATTTCGTCAGCTTGTTTTACCACTAATGGGGATCTCAATAAACATAAACATAAGCACAATAATTTCCTCACCAAAACTTATAAATCAATTAAAAAAATATACAAAAGTCTCTACTTCTGAAGTAAAAAAAAGAAGTAATACTAACACACACTTGTGTTTTGTTTTATTTTTAGGTAGAATTCAAAATTAAATTAATGCATTTTGTAGTTATTGTGACAATATTTTGCACTGAAAAGTCACATACTAAAAACACGAATCATTCAAATCACATTTAAAAACACAAATATATCCCTCTCTTAACTTTCCTACCTGTTTAATACCCAGTAGTTCAGGATAATCAAAAATAATGAGGATGCTGCAGATGATGGCCCAGCAGAGGAAGTGCAACCCAAAGCAGAGCAGAGGGAACCAGACACTCCAGGGTGCATGGCGCACTGACCACAGACAGGGGGCGCCAGTCACTGGCTGCCAGTGACGCACCAACATCTAAGAGAGAAAAAAATAATAAAAACTGAAACATAAGGAACATGTTAAATATAAAACGTACACATCACCAAAGGATTACTGGATTTGAACTGAGTTTGCCTAAACAGTACAGAAAAAATAAAAACAACGCAAACTAAATTGATTAAAGTTAAATTGTTTAGATTAGCTACACAAAATAAACATATGAGATTATAAGTGTGCTAAAAACTATAAATAAAACTTCCAAAAAAGAGTTTTAAAATATTAAGCAATACATAGACTGTAAATGCTCAAAAGGAGCTTAAACAAAAATGAAACATCAAAAGAGGCAAATGTTTATATAAAACATATGTACAAAGAAAGGCAAGAGACTACTTAAAGAAACAAAAACTGCAAAATTATATTTAAAAATCAAATATAATAAAAATGACAAAAAACTATAAAAATCAAAACTAAAAATATAAAATATAATAAAAAACTACAAATACAATAAAAAAAAACAAAAAAACTAAAAGAGAGGACTTGAAATCAAGCATCAATATTTTAACTAATCTAAAAATAATAACAAATTATGTGCTTGTACCTAAAATATTCTGAATGGCAACTTGTAAATAATTTCAAAAATATTTATTAAATCTTGGCATCACTGCAGGCATATATATGAATTTTCACCAAATGAAAAAATGCAATAAAAGATGGTATTCAATGCATTTTTGGATATTAAAATGATTTTTGAGTGCTGCTGTACCTGGAGGGCGAGTGCAGTAGAGAAGCAGTACGCTGTCCTGTTCAGGGCCCCCAGCAGGGACTGCAGGGCCTGTTTGACCGGGGCCCAGGCCATCAGGCTGTGTTGGACAACGAAGAGAGCCAGCAAGGACAGATCCACAAAAAGAGCCCAGAGCACAGAACTGTCCTTCAAGGCCACGGACCAGGGGACGGAGTCTTAGTGGACACAAATCAACAAACAGTCAAGAAAGAGCAATTATTGAATTCATTATTTAAATATAATTATTGATAGGCAGGGCCAAACTTTAGGAGGGGCTTAGGGGGGCAGTGGCCCAAAGCCCAACTCTTGGGGGAGGCCTAAAAATTATTTTATTTTTGAACAGTGTTATATAAACACAGTGCCTTTATAAAATCCAAAGTAGATGAGTTGTATTCATATTTTGAGATTTTAATGATTATAAACAATATTCAAATGTTTAAATTTGATGAAATCATAGTGGATTTCTTTGGGAACAACATACAATAGGAGAAGCTATTAATGTACTGTAATTTACATTATAAAATAATTTTTACTTATAGTACCAGTTTTTACCAAACTGGCACCAGGCCAAGGGCCCACATCCTTGTAAATCAGGCCCTGATGGCAGGGAATAAAACAGTTTCAATATATAATCAAGGAACAGAAAATAACAAGAATTATAAAGGTAGACTTTAACATTCAATAACATAAAATAAAAAGTCATTCAGTGTGTAGGGACACTTTACTTGCTAGTAAAACATGTTTTAGAGTTACTCAGACTAAATTTGGACTTATATCTTGTGGAGATAAGAGTTTAAACAGGCAATTCATGCTTGAAAACCTAATATGGCTGAATTAAAGCAATTTTTCAAAGGTTTGGTGAAAATGTATCTTCATCTGACCAGTCAGTCATTCATTTCTGTAGCTCTTTGCTTTACACAACTACAGTGTTGCTGAGCAAAGTGCTTCACAAAAATTACTGATTTTGCCATACAGGATGGCACAACTTGCTATTCGGTTTACAGAGTAATTATTTTTCCACATGGGGCCATTTTGGGTTTGGATAGCTTTTGTCCATAATAAATTAAATAAATTGAAAAGTACATTTTGTAGTCATTTAGGGAACTCAAGTAACAATCTTTGGTGCAAAAATGACTCTGTGACGTCGGAAACTATCAACATAACTACAGGATACTATGCTACACAATTAGGACATTTTTGAAAACGAAAAATTTGATCGCCCAACGTGGGGCTCGAACCCACGACCCTGAGATTAAGAGTCTCATGCTCTACCGACTGAGCTAGCCGGGCACTGATTTCATCGACCAAAATTCCGCCATACGTCATATGTACTCCAGACGTTCTGATGTGTTCGTAGATTTAATTATTGCACACAGTTGAATGACTACAAAAACTACACACTCATCGTGGCTGTAAACAACTTCCTCAAGTGATAACTTTTTCTGGCTGCAAGCCACCTCAAGTTTTACGAGAGCTTACCTTGACAGAGCGTCGTCTCCCCTGTAATGTTATGATAGATGGGTCGAAACGACACGAAGCGAATGAAGTCTGCCCCAGAAATGAACACAAAGAGCATATTTAAGAGAGAGACAGCGCAGAGAGCCCAGCTACGGGCTGTGACTGACGCCATTTCAATCAGCCCTGCTCTGTCATGTTCACAGTTCCGGGAGAAAACTTGGTGTTAATATGGATTATTTACACACGATGGCGCTGTTGTTCGCATAAGCCTGGTGTATTTTAAAGCCAAACTTGTTTTAGTTTGAGAATTAAACGATGTGAACTTCATCAGTAATGTTGAAATGTAAATATTATATTACTAAAGGACTGCATATTCAATATTTAATATAATTTATTAAGTGTTAGTATTCTCTTCCGCAAGTTTATTGCTAAAGCAAATCAGAAATGTTATTACAAGTTATAAAAAACTTGAGTTGTATATGTATGGGGTTCCAAGTAGGACAAAAATGTTTTTATATTTTCAAACGTTTTGTTTGGTTAGTTCATCAATGAAATTAATGTGGGGCATCTAAGTTATTTTCTTTAACATGACTAAGTGGAAAAACATTAAAACAAATGTTTTCTTCATCTGAAACAAAATTAACTGAAGCGCTAAAGGAGTTTAACAAACTTCACTACTTAAGTCAAGAAAATTTTACTCAAATAGCAGAAATGAACCTGAGGAATCAGAAACTGTAAATCATGACATCATTAACATAGATCAAACTATTTACATCTTACAAACAAATCTATAAATCAGCATTTGGTAACCGCAAATCTGATCATATACAGATTTTACATAACAAGTAAGGTGACATAATATTTTGATCCTGTTCCAGGCCATCAACCAAACAGTTGCTGCAGATGGAGATTAGTTGCTCTGGCTGCTAATTTTATTGTGGAGTATCAGTTTCAACAAAACATGATTTAAAATTGTTTTAAAGGTGCTACTTACTAACATTTGAAACAAACAAGGATCCTAGTTTGCTTATCTATTGGGCTGGCTCAGGCTCATTTAAATTTGCAAAGTGGACTCATGAAAAACATGAATTTGAATTTGTTCTTATATTTCCTGGTATGTAACAGAAATAAATGGATGGAAAAGTGAGAAATCAGAAAAGCAAAGATTTTATTTGAATGATACGTTGTATAAGATATATGGTAGTAAAACACTCATCTCCATTAAATAAGGCTGACCTCACCGCTGTAACACTCTACATGATAGTACTTGTTACACGATGCCACTCGAATTGACTCTGCAGATCCCTGAAACAGTTGGAAAAGGAAAACATGAGTAAAATGAGTAAAGTCTGAAACTCAGGCTGTTAACTGAAGTTGGACTTCACCTCTGTAGGCAGTATCGGCATCCCGCAGGCACCGCAGAGGGGAGACCGGACCCTGAAACCATGAAAAAGTCTCAGTGAAACTGAAAATCTCTTTGTGTGGAGACTCCCCCTGTTCTCGTTGTAATCAGAACCAGAACTGGGCTGGGCCTATTGTTGTTGTAATGTCACCTGTGATAGTCGGTGACACAGTAAACCCTGCAGTCTGAGTCCACAGCGAAGGCCTGACCCTGCAGCTCCCGTCTGCAGACCACACAGCGAAAACAGCTCGGGTGGTACGATTTCCCCCGGGCCTGCAGAACCTGAATGTGTAGCTCCGGTTCTATTACTCAGAACTTTGTGAAGGTTTACAAAGAAGTGAACTCATGCGGGTAAACAGGTAAATAAATGCTTGCCAAATCTGTGATTGAACTTCCGCAACTGTAACATGTTTCTTCAGATGGGTGAACTCCAGAGAACTGCAAAAAAACAAACAAAACAATGAGAACTGTAACTATTTCATTTATTAAGAGTAACCAACAAATCGACACTTACCAAAAAATCATCCTCACAGTAGATGTGTCCCGACACGGTGAAGAACGGCTGTCCTTTGAGCTGTTTGTCTGAAATAAATTAAATATAATAGATCAATATGAGAAAAGTGAATATATCACTGAAAATGTGTGTGCGTGTTTAACCGTTTTACATTTTTATACTCTCATTTTATCAAATTTTGAATCATTAGATCAAGTCAAATCAGCATAAACATAACAAATGTGCCTTTTAATGCAAATTACCAAGTCATTTTTCTCTATTTGTTAATGTAAATATATTAGTTCACTTAAAATAAAACAAAACTAACTTATAAGCAACTTTTCAGCAAAATATAGGAGCTTGTTTTAAGTCAGTAATTCCTTAACATTGATGAAAAAGGAGATTATTTCACTTATAAATAGCACTTTTTCATCAATATTAAGGAATTATTGGCTTAAAATAAGATCCTATATTTTGCTGAAATGTTACTTGTAAGAATTTGTTTCTTCTTATTTCAAGGGAACTAATTTGCACTAAACACTACACCAACAAAAATTGTGTTTTTGCAGTGTAACAACCATAAAACACCAATCTAAAGGCTTTGGTGGGAAATCCAGGTGATTTAAAGTAAAACTTGTTTCCACATGTCATCAGAACCTGTTGTATAGTTAATTTATCCAAATTTATTATGAGCGTTACATGTCATCAGACTGGTTTTTGAGTTTTGCTTCAGTACAGACAGGCTTATCAAGGTTGGGCTGCAGAGATGTGAACTTCCAGAAAGTGTTTACACATAACATCACTTTGTTTACAGACAATTTGGAAGTGCAGTTTAAAATGTAAACAAGGCTGTGTAAATATCTCGAGTCGTTCCTCATGTCTTCATATGTAGATCCAGGACAAACTTCCCTCCTTTATTGTCTTAGCTTTGCTTGTTTGTGGTGCAAAATTAGGAGTCAGATTATATCATATTTTAATAAATAATCTAGTATTTTATATATTCTTTATCTTCTTTCTGGCCTTGATCTGATGATATTTGGGGTTTCTAAATGGCTTTCAAACTTTTCCCAAATAACATTTTTTAAAGAAGCCTGATTAAAATATGCAGCTCTGGAAAAAATGATCAGTTTCTCCGATTTTACTTTTTATAGGTAAATGTTTGAGTAAAATGAATATTTTTCTTTTATTCTATTAACTACTGACAACATGTCTCTGAAATTCAAAGCAAAAATGTTTTATTTATTTGCTGAAAATGAGAAACGGTAAAAAAAAATGCTATCAGACCTTAAATAACGCAAAGAAAACAAGTTTATATCCATTTAGAAACAACAATACTAATGTTTTAACTCAGAAATCAATATTTGGTCAAAAAACCAGGAGGTTTTCAATTCAACAAATATTATTGAATCTCACTAAAGTGTTAAATTAACACTGTATTTTTAACACCAACATTGTAAATCTGACACTTTTGGTCTTGCTGAGGTTCCTTAAACCAGGCGACTCACTGCAAATGCTGCAGGTGAAGCATGTGTTGTGGAATAAATGCCCCATCGCCTGGCAGGCTCCTCCTGCAGCAAACACGGCTTTCCCACATCCAGTGCAGCTTCCTAAAGTCACATCGCACACGATGGGTCAGATGAAGACATTTGGGTCTTCATCTGACCCAAATGTCAGATGAAGAGCCAAACAGAACAAAGCAGGTAAAAATGCAAACCATCATCCTCACCAAAGCAACGTCTGGGCTCCATGGCTCCTCCAGTTGTCTGGTTCTGACAGTCTAAATTTACAGACAGCTGTAAGGGGAGCTGATCTCTGGTTTACTGCTGTTGCTTCTTGGAGGGCAACAAGCTGCAGACGCCCCGACAGTGGCTGCCCTCTGGGTGGCAACAGACAGGGACAACTGGCACGAAGAGAGAGAGAGACAGAGAGAGGCGCCTCAGACAGACGCAACAGAATTATACAAGAAAATCAAGTCAGTCATGTCATCTGGATTTATTAGAATTAAATTACACACATTTAGCTTGTGGCCGAAGAACTAAATTAAGTTTATAACGTCAAATGGTAAAAGTTTATCTGTGTAAAGAAGCATGAAGTGTTTGAGCTTGTTATGAGCAAGCATGAGGCGACAGTGGAGAGAAACAAGAAAACTCCAGGAGAACCCACTGAGTTTAAAAGTCCATCCATCCATCCATCCATCCATCCATCCATCCATCCATCCATCCATCCATCCATCCATCCATCCATCCATCCATCCATCCATCCATCCGTGTTAGAAGTTCATATTTTCATCCAGCGTATGGTTAGGATTTTTCATCCTAATTGTTTCTCTGCTATCAGCCATAAAACACTATTCACTTCCCCTCTGTTATTTTCTCCTACTGCTCTCCACTCATTCATGAATTGATATTTTTGCTCCTATTAACTCTATAACTTTGCATTTCCTCTCCACCTGACTAGGAGCTTCTGTTATAGATAAACCCGACTGCGGTCTCCAGCTCTGTGTGCGCTCTTTGTTTAAACTCTACATGAAAATAACTCTTTGAACAAAGTGGCCATGTTTTCCATGTCTGCTTCCTGCCTGGTCTGCTCTAATACCGGACCTGGTTCTGGTTCTGATGGAAGGCTCTTTCTGTTCAAATAGAGTGGTTCTTCTCCACTGTCCACACGTGCTTACTCAGTCAGAGTAAAGTCCATACTATGTAATATTTGTAAAAACAAGGACTCCAATCACACTCCTCATATATAACCTTATTCTGTTTCTGTTTGATTTTATTTGTATTTCATCTGTTGATACTTTATTAATATGCAGATGTTTATGTTGTTTTTAGATATTTTTTATATTCTCTACTTGATTCTTAAGTTTTGTTAAAGTTATATAACTTTTGTAATAAATGATTAAGTTTGACTGAATTGTAATTGAACTAAATACTAAAACACATTGAATTAATAATATTTCCCCCCTTAAGGGATCAATAAAGTATTATTATCTTATCTTATTAAACTAGGGTTAAACTGATAAAGGGAAATTGCTTATTTGTTGACAACCTATTCAAAGTGTTGAATACTAAACATAAATATAAGCATTTGTGATATAAAATTTGTAATGAAAGTGTCAAATAAAATGAACAAAAATTGAATAAAGAACAAATGTGAATATAAATCTATAAACGAGTCCAGAGTAAATTCAAACTTAAACTTAAAAACATGCAATTGGATCTGGGGAGTTGATTGATTTTAATTAAATGAATTGAACTAATCTGAACTGAGCCAAGCTGGTTTTTCTGTAACTGGATCTGAACCTCAGGTTGATAATGAATCAAGCCTTAGTTACAAACAGAAAATAATGTTTTGTGATTCTCTGCAGCTGGTCTGCACATGTAAAACACTGAACATGAAAACATTTTCTCTGAACTAATGCGTTACTGCCTCCATGTGGACTGTCCAAATCTTCATCGTATCTGAGTATTTTTTCTTTAATAAATACAAGCTGCTGCAGTAGATTTGGTGATTCTGACAGCGGCAGCAGCAACATGTGTGGCGCTCCGGATCAGTTTCATGGGACGGGAGGGGAAGTTTGACAGCTGCTGACTCTTCTCTGAGGGCCTCTTGTTAAGAGGAGAAACAGCAGCAAAACGCCCACTGTGCATGCCGTCAGACTGGTTCTGCAAAAAACAACAAAAAAAAGCCTATTCTTATGTTTAATATAAACACTTTAACTTAAAACATTTGCGAAAACATTAAAAAAAATGTAGTGAAACTTAGACTCTTTTTGATTTTTAATGTTAATGTGACATTTAAAATAAGAGGCTTTAACTGTTTTGAATTTGAGTGAAAATTCAAAGTGAGAGATGGAAATGAGGGTTTGGTGGATTAAAATCCAACATGGTGTCTGAAAGTGGTCCAGCCCTCAGGTATGTTCCTGAGCAGGAATGTCTGCGTTGTGAGGCATGTGGCGGCAGGAGCAAGCCTCTGCAGCTCTGGGAGTGTTAGGCCTCCAAAGGAAATCACATATTTACTGTCGCTGCACTGTGGGAACAAAAAAAAAAAAAAAAAAATCCCCCTGACTGAGCACGCATTCATTTTTGCATGGCAACCTTTTTTCCTTACTCATTTGCCTGTTTCGACAGATACTGCCTCCTTTATAAGCTCTCTGCAGCGCTGTTTGGGTTGTTTCTCCTGTAATATTCTAACATAATTAAATAACTTAATAACCCTGAACTTATTCCGGACCGTCCACGCCCGTCCCACGCCTCGTGTTGGGGATCCACGGCCTCATGCCAGCCATCTGTTGGCATGCTTGGCTGCTTATAAATAGGGCGCCCATTGTGCCACACTCACTGTGCATGACTTTTACCTCTCATTCCACGCGTGGAGTGAGTCTCCTGTGTTTTGTTGCTCAACGGTTGGGCAGGATCCGTACGGCGTCAAGTTGGAACAGGTAACCCACCTGTGGGGCCACGCCTTCCGCTCCTGCGCAAGAAACCTGGAGCAGGAAGTAGCTGTCAGCGCCTTCGCTGCGGGTTGGAAAGTGACCGTAAAATAATGCATTTGCTCGTCTGAAAAGCGAGTCTGGATTTGTTTCTTTTTAAATATTTTTTATTATTATTTTTAATCGGGAGGATTTCCATAGCGTGAATATGGGTTTTTGTGGAGCATGCGCTCTCCTGGCGCTGTTATTTGTGTCATCTGTGGACTCATCAGGTGAGGGAAAAACGCATCTGGCAGCTGGAAATATTAACTTGTTACAGACTTGTGTTCGTGTTTAACGTCATATGTTAATGTTTAAGAGGGTTAAAATGTGTAAAATATAAAATATGCGCTGAGAAACGCCCTTATTGTTTAAGACTTTCATGACGCTGAAGTTCGTGTTTGATTCACAGCATGGTATGTGACTAAAGGGCTATTCCAACTCATTTAATAATGTTTGACAGGCTTTAATAAAATACTGTAAACAGATTATTTTATCTTTATCACACATATTTCGGGATGCAGTCTGATATTTAGTATAATTGTCTTCATTCCTGAATTGGACCTTTATTCAGCTTCTGAAGAGCAAATTTAGACGTTGAAGACCCCAGTTAGATGAATTACGATTAAAAACTAAAAAGTATAATAGTAAAACTTTAATTTTGGCCTGAAATCATTTAATATTAGGTCTGGCTTTAAAAACTAAATCAGACACAATCTTTACATAATTATTTTTACACAACTGACAAAGTATAGATTGTAACTTTTAAAGTTTGAATTTTAAAAGGATTTTTCTGCTCTGACTCTACGTTAGTCAGACTTGAAAAAAATAAACCACCGTTCATGTCAAATCTAGACAAAATCATCCCACATTAATGACAGATCATATAAAATCCAGTTTGTGATTTTTAATACCTTTCATCATGTCTTAAAATATCAGCAAATGTAGACGGTTGAAGCCTTTCATGATCCACCTAGACTGAACATTAAACCACTTTAATGGCCCAAATTTTTCTACATTAATGGCAGACTACAGATAATATAGATAAGCATTTGTAGAAGTGTTATTCCATTAATTTTTATGAAATCAAACTGTTTTATATCCTGTGTGAATAATGTAAAGCTATTTTTGTGAAGATGTCATGTAAGGTGATTTCAGACTAAGGAAAGTCTAAAGAAATCAGCTTTTTTAGTTTTTTTATAAACTAAATCAAGCTTTCACAACTCAGAAAACGAATTTATAGAGAATGCATTGACTAGTGGATCAAATGTTTACTAAATTTGTTAAAAGCAGCAGAACTGCCCTTTATTCAGGTACAAATCGGACGCCAACTTCACCATTTTGATTAGTTTCACCTTTTTTGGGTCACTTACACTTGAGATGAGCTCAGCTTGAATCACCCGGTACTTTATGGCTGGAATAGCAAAGAACATTAATGCCTCTTCAGTTATGATGGGAATATCGCATCAGTGTGATCTGAGCTGCTCAGCTCTTATATTTAGCTCTCTGTTTTCAAAAGCTTTGAGGCGTTAATGGAGCCTCCTTCCTGGAGGCATGACTTCATTCATTAATGATTGACCAACAATCTGCTGCTGAAGTATGATTCTGGTGGGTGTTTTATTACACACAGTGTTTGGATTTAAACTCTGTTGTCTTTCTACAAACTGCACTTAGCTCTGTCGAGGAGCTTTATGATTATTTCTACGATTTACAGATAAGAATGATCAAATGTTTTTCATTGTTTACTGCTGAAAGGTCCTGACTCCTGCATTGCTAATAAAAAGCTGTTTATCCTGTTCAGATCAGAACTGCAAAAAGACAAAAGCTTGCAAAGTAGTTTTGGTTTAGTTTCTAGGGCAAATATCTTGAAATAAAGCAAAACTAACTTTCAGGTAACTTTTCAACACAATATAGGAGCTTATTCTAAGTCAATAACTCCTTAATATTGATAAAATTATAAGTTTTACTGCCAGATTGTTTAACTTATAACATGGGAAAAATGTCATAAGTGGAATAATCCACCAGTGAAACTAGTTATTTTTAATCAATATAAAGGAATTAGTGACTTAAAACAAGCTCACGTATTTAGCTGAAAAATCACTTGTAAGTTTGTTTAACATAGTAAGATAAAAACTTTACAAAAATACTTGTTTTTCCAGTGAAGTGATACATCTAATCTGTTTTTGTGATGGACAAAATTTCCAATGAAACTGTAAACTGTCTGGAATGAAAGTTTGCATGGAAACTCTCACTTCCATTGGAGGTAAAGCCTCGTTTGGATCCTCCTCTAAAACCACTGCAGCATTTCTGTAAAGCACAACTCCAACCTGCTTTTAGTTTTAGCTACAAAACTTCAAGTTTTAGCTACAAAACTTCAAGTTTTAGCTACAAAACTAACGTTTTACAGATAAACCTCTATCGCAGTCCTGGTGCCACATTTCTGATTCAAGTCAAAAAGATGAAAAAGATGATGCTGACCGTCAAGCTGGTTGAGAAAATCTAGAGAAATGCCTCTAGGATGTGGAAGAACAAGCGATGGCTGTGCAGCCGACAGGTTTTTGTGTGTGATGCAATGCAGTCATGTCAACACAAAGCCGATTGAAGAGGAATGTTACTTAGTTCCTATCGAATATAGGCCACAAAGTAAGGGCCAGATGGATGCTTAGCAATCTGCTTGGTGCAAAACTGTAGGTGCAGGTTTCCTAATAGAGCTTGAAATTAATGATTTTGTTTACTATGACTCATGATTTACTCTAATTAAGTCACTCTGGTTTATCGTTTCCGTCAGTTGGATAGGTGTGCCTGGCAACAGTGTTTGCTCATGTGTCACCAGCAAGCTCTCTCTTAGCCAGCTTCACCAGTCATTTCCTGGATGACTATCAATCAGTTTCTCATGTAGCTGAGTCTGAGTCTGTGTCAGCTCCTTCTTAGTCAGTTGCTTTAAGCCTCAGGAAATGGTTTTTAACTAATAAACGGTGGTTTGCCCCCTCTGAGTTAGTGGTTGGTATTTGCATTGAGGGGAGGTGATTAAGTATGTTGTTTATGAGCGATGGTAAAAGGGTGCAGGAGATGAATAAATGGTCTGCAGTGAAGTCGGTGCTGAATAGGCCTGTCACAACAACACATTTTTCTGAGAATTGTCCCATAAGTTATTGTGATAAACGATAACATTGTTGTTTTGAGACCATTTCTGTGTAACATAATGGTAATGGCATAATAATGCAAGAACTCATTCTCAAATGTCAACAAACTAGAAATTTAATGAAGATTTAACACTGAAACTGGAAGACATTTTAAACAATATCCAAAATAAACAAACAAAACAACAGAAACAACAAATAAAATGAGTTATTAAGTCTATGTAAACAAAATTGCTCTTTAAAAAAGCCATTGTTAAACAAGCTGACCAAAAGTTCTGGAGCTCAGTGTGGTTGCTAGGTAACGAGGTTGGGCTCGGCTGAGGTTGCTAGGAAACGGCTCAGTGCCCACGGAAAGTTACCGAACAGTATGTTTTTTTTTTTTTAAATGCCTCATTTTACAAACACCAAAAAACATTAACTTATTCCCCAAAGAGCTCTGTTTTTTTTTTTTTTTTTTTGCTTTTTTAGAACACAAATGGAAGTACAAAAAAGTGACAGGTTCGCTTTAATACAACAAAATCCTTAAAAATTAATTCTTTAAAAGAAAGGGGGGATAGCACCAGACTGAAGAGTTTGTCCTCCAATTTTGGTAGAAAAAAATTGTGAAAATGGAAATTATTGAGCTTGTTTATTTATTGCTTATTGCGACAGGCAATTTTTTTTTAAACTGACATACAAAAGCTTTGGTCTATAACGGTATGTAAAGCTGCAGAATGGTTTAAACACGAAGATCAAGCAATGTCCAAACATAAAACAGCATAAAATTTAAGAATCTGGTCATCACTTCATATGAAAAATAATTACTGCTGTTATCTGTGTTATTGTTACTAATTAAAGCTGCAGTATGTAACCTTTATAAAAAAATGTTAAGATTGTCACCATGTTGAGACGGTATACTATGAGACAGATAATCTGTGAAAAGATAAATCTCCTCCCTGAGCTGCTATTGCTATTGTTTCACAAAATGCACCGACCAAAAACAACCAATCAGAGCCAGGAGGAGGAGGGTCTTAGCGCTGTCAATCAGCTTTGTGTACCTTGACTTTCTGTACTATTTTCTTTTTAAATATTGTATCCTTGAGCCACTAAATCCACTCTTGCCATTATAATAATTGTCTATAATTTTGAAACATTGAGTTTCACAATATCAAGCCGAAGCCAAGGTTGATGTGAGTTTATCTTTCTGACTCAGAGATCCACACAGGAAAGTCGGTCGAGCGTAATCACCGTCTCTAAAAACGAATGTCTATATGCATGATTGTGAATGGAAAAGAAAATGAATAAAACATGAAGTAAACTTATCTAAAGTTAATGGTTATGGTTTAAAATGTTTACTATTTGGGTTGTAACCAGACATATTGCGAAATACAAACAACTAATTGATTCTCCCCGCCTAACTCTGCCAAACAGGAAATGCTTGTTCAGTCGGTTTCTAATCGCTCTGCCATGAACTGCAGCGTTTGACATGCTTTCTGATGCTTGTGGAGCGTTTTGGTTTTTATCGTCTCTTTTAGCATCATGTTTTCAGATTTTGTGGGTGTTTATACATGTTTTCAATCAGTTTCTGTAATGTTTCCCTCAGAGCCCTTTCAAACCACGGTGAAGCCAAATAAAGGGTCAGAGGTCACCGTTTCCAGCCAGCTGCCTGATTGCACCGTCTGCACCGTCAGTGGCGTTAATGACGCCCAGAGTTTCTGCCAACCGTCTCTTAAACTAGAGCCTGAAAAGGAGGTGAAGCTGCTGTTTAAATGCCCCCAACCCATCGAACAGTCGTACAATGTGACAATCAGCAGCTTAATTGGTAAGTTTAATCCCAATTTATTTGTTCTGTTGGTTTTGTCCTTTTTAATACTTTTCTTTAAGAAGAGCTTTATGCAGAAATAGATGTGTGCAAGTATTTTGATTATCGCTGGACTCTGGCTCATGCAAATTTAAAAAAAAATACAAGAGTAAATGTTGTGAAATTTCAGCTAAGAGGAAGAGGAGATTATAATGTTATCGCTGCTTATTTAAAAGTGAGAAACAATTGCAAAAAGCATATCAGGAATGTTTTTATCTTGGGATAAATTCCACTTTTTTGCAGGATTTTTCTATTGAAATAATCAACTAATTTAGTGACTGATTAATCATTAACTGAAGTTTACAGACTTTCAAAATGACCATTTGCAGAAAAAACAACATTCAGAGCAGTAATTAAATCAAAACTGTACAAACAAGTTGTACATTTTGCATTTAAGATAAAAACACATTTATTTCTAAATACATTTTAGTCAAAACTCCTCAAGTGGCAAAGATTTAGTTTCACATGATTCAGATTTATCAAAGGAATGCTACGGTATTAAATCTTTTTATATTTCTTAAAAAAGAATTCAATTATTTGCATCTTTTAATGCATTTCTAATATTGTATTAAAATTCTTAAAAGAAAAATCTGCAGAATGCGCTACTTTTTAATTTGATTATCAGAACAATCCACTACTAAAATAATTGTTGCTATTCTAGCACCACAATTTAACGAGTTTACGAGTTTAACTATCGTGGCTTTCGCCTTTTTCTAAACCACTTTGCAGAATGCACAAAAGATGCTTGCAGTCCAGCGACGGTAGAAGTCCAGTCGTCCCTCCTGTCGAAGTTCTCCAGAACCTTCACCTGGAAGCTAAAGGCGCCTGAAAAGACCCTCGTGAGTCTGAAGGTCCTCAGGACTGGACTGACCAAGGCTCCACACCCTTGCAGTGATGGACGGCAGTATTCAGCGGTCACATCTGAAACCAGCAAAGAGGTTCTGACTCGGTACTGTGAGGGTGGCAGCGAGACCCAACTGGACCTGTCCGATCAGGGCGTGGTGACCCTGGAGGCCAAACCAAACACACAGGTGGAGTCGGTCCTGTTTCAAGCCTTGGCTGCACCAATGAGTAAGAACTGATCCAGCTCTTTATACAGATATTTCAGCGACATGTTGATTCAATAACTGATCTTAGGGCAAAATAGTTTTGCGATACAGTAAAGTCCCATTGCCTTATGGACCTATGGATCCCTTGCAGCGTGATGTCACATGCGTAAGATCCCGCCCCCGACTCCCATCTCCAAAATCAGCTGGCCGACGACCACTACCATTATAGCTGTTAAATTATCAATATAACGTTCAAAATCTTAAATGTACACTTGATATTTAAATGAAAAAGGGACTCGGTGCCTAGCTGTTAGTTGTCAACACTAGGACAACTAAATAAAAAGGTCAGAAAAAAAATAACGGGGGAGAGGGAAGTAGGTCAGTCATGCTAGCTTGACTATGACAACCGCAACATGTAGATGTGCTGTGGAATTCTGAGTGTTTTGGTTCAGTTAGAAATAAAAGGAAATTTAATTTGGGTGTTTAAATTAGCTAATCAACCACCACAATGTTAGATTAGCTAATAGCAGCGGTAGCTAATTTATCACAGCGATCACTTATTAATAAATTAATCATACCTACGTCTCCAGATTTCATTTAACAGAGTTATTCCACTGCAGCAGAGCCGCTACGGATGGCATGTTGCCAGAATTACCAGTTTGTTTTGAGAATACACATTGAGAACAATATGGTAGACCTATCCGCCATACAAATTGAGATTTTTCAGTGTCTGACTTTAAATAGTTTTGCGCTGAACATAATTAGGCTACAGGAAAATGTTATCACTGTACTCGATGATTAGCATGTGGCTAACTTTGGGAAAACTTGTTTTGCTGGTGATTATTGTTGCTCAATACTTAGCCGTCAGCATTCATCGGATTTATTTTTATTACATTAAATAATTTAAACAGAGACAGTTTGATAGAAAAACTGAATAATTCACATAATCAAGATTACAACCACTTAGATTTAAAGGTCAGAGGGTCACCCAACCCACTGCAGTGCAAAAGCACAAAATCTGTTTTTTGTCCAGTTTCTAGTGCAAATATCTTAGCAAACTTGAAAGACAAAGCAGTTAATTTATCTGCCAAGTATTTTTTAAAATCAATGTTAAAGTATTATTTACTTAAAATAAGCTTCTCTATCTTGCTGAAAAGCTGCTTTTAAGTTATTGTGTCTTATTTCATGTGTACTAAGATATTTGCACAAGAAACTAGACCAGTAATGCTTGGTAAGATTTTCTGTTTTTACAGTGTAGGCTTAATGAAACAGTAGAATACGGTCTAATGCATCCAGAGCCTTTTTTATGCAGAGCTTACAAAGTGATTAGCATTGATTAACTGCTTTTTATTTGTCTTGAATCTCTTTACAAGAGCGAGTAATGACCGTCACTATTGGTCCTGCTTCCACTGTGGTTCTGACCCGGGATCCTGGGAAGGAAGAGTGTGACGTGTGCGTCACCAGCGGCGGCAGTCCAGACTGCCACGCCACAGAAAAGACTCTAAAAGGTGCAGAAAAACTCCCTCTGGAGTTCAGGTGCCTGAAACCCGAAGACGTGTTCACCGTGAAGATGATAACAAACATAGGTAAGAATTTACTCTATCTAGGTCACAGGTGTCAAACTCGAGGCCCGTGGGCCAAATCCAGTCCGCCTTAGCTGTTTATGTGGCCCTCTAGATTCTAGACTAAACACTGAGTGTGCTTAAATATAATGTAATCAATCAAATCAATGCCATTATTATCTGTTTAGTACCAAATTATATCAATCAGTCCCTCCAGTTTCTTGAGAGTGATCGTGGAAATTTATGCAAAATCAACAAATTCCCACACTTTTTTGCGCTAATAATTGGGAGTTTATTACAGATTTTTCTTAAAAATTGTCAAAAACTTCCTTACTTGTACTAAACAGCTGCCTCAGCCTTGATTTATGTCAGATTATAGTCCATGAATAAAAACAGGAATAAAAAGTCAAATTTACCATCATAAATGAGCGAAAATATTTCCAAATTAGTTTTTTATTGCAAAAAAAATCACAAAAACAATCGCAAAATTCTGGAAGGACTGAAAAGATGTTCAATATTATTTAATTTTAAGAATTTATTAATATTTTAACAGGTTTTATCAATACATTCTGGCACAACCGGCCCTTTAAGAGCATTTAGGATCTTAATTTGGCCCAAAACGAAAATGAGTTTGACTCTCTGCTCTGGATCTTTTTGAAGCCGATTGTGGCTCAGCTGGGTTGATCGGTTTTTCTTTTCTGTTTTCTCTCAGGATGCACTCAGACGTCCTGCTCTCCGGCTTCGGCCGAAATGGATCCGGATCTCTTCAAGGGCTTCAGAAGAACCCTGACGTGGGACGTTGCTGTTCCAGACAGAACTGTTTTAACTTTAGAGTTTCCTGGACTGAAGGAAAAATCTGCATCAGAGAACTGTGAGGGCGGCATTCAGTACACGGTCAGTACCATGAGGATCGACGGACAGATGAGAACCAGCAGTTACTGCAAAGACGGGACGGCGTCTCAGCTGGAGCTGTTTGGAAAGACGACTGTGACGGTGGACGTTCCCAAAGAAGGAGAACTGGACCGGACCGTGTTCAGTTCAACGGCAGTGCCGAGCCGTGAGACAATAGTTTAACATTTAATGAAGGAACCTACGACGGAGTACTAGAACCACACTGTGAAAATAATAAAATAACTAGATTACAGTCAAAATAATGAGAATAAAGTTAATACAAGATTAAAGTTGTAATACTCTGAGAAAAGTCATAGTATGACTTTATTCTCAAGATATTTAGACTTTATTCTTGTATTATTTCAACATTATTCTCATACTATTGTAATTATATTCTCATATTTTGATTTTATTCTCAAATTATTTTGACTTTATCCTTGTAACATTTTCCTAGTCTGTCCTTAATCTCCGTTGTAGAAACCAGTTATTTTGAAAAAAATCAACATTTTCCATTCTACGTGCTTTAAAAACATGCTTTCTCTGTTATTCAGGTGGAAGATCCATGTATGTGACCTCTGACCCCAACACAAACCTCATCATCACGAAGGTGGACAAAGAGGCAGACTGTCAGATCTGCGTGACGGAGGCGTCCAAACAGACTTGCAAACCTCAAATGTACAGACTGAAAAATCTTCGCAACGCTTCGGTGGATTTTACGTGTCCTCAGCCGCAGAAAGTCTTCACGGTGGAAATAAACAAAGATATTGGTATGAAATTAAAAATATCTCTGAATACAGTAGCCACATATGAAGCGTTTTAACTGGCTGAGAGCCTGAACTTTGGGTTTTTCTCAAGCAGCAGACGTCGTAGTTAACCATGTAATCACATTTTTGTTTATATTTTAAGTTAAATGGAGACGCTCCTGTGTGAGCTGCTGATTATTAAATATAGTTTCCAGGACTTTAAGATAATTGCAACCTGGTAAAACTCCTAACATCTCCATTCTCATATAAAATAATCCAGTTTATTTACTTCAGCTGTTAAACTTTATTTACGCTGCACGCTGGGGGACATGGGGAAGAATTATTGTTTTGCGTTCCCTCGCAATAAGCAAATATACCCTGATCTATTTTGTATACAGTCACAAATGTCCATTTAAAATTTCAAATATATACATTTAAAGAGCCTCAGTGAAAACGTGTTATTTTCTTAACTCTTTGGCGCAAAAACTGGATTTATTTACTGCATGTTTATGTCTGATTGTGTAGAGATGGATCTGCACATGAAAACATCATTCAGACAAAAAGACACAATAAAAACAGTCAGATATGATTTTATTACCCGTTAAAATAACTCAGAAATAGTCCAAATAGTTTGGATGTTTTTTTGTTTCTTTCCTTCTTACGGGAGGTTTTTGTTTGTATCTTGGAAGGGATGACAGAGATGGCAAGAGATGGCAACACGTTGCGAGGGAAAGCTAACGTTTTGCGAGGTGACGCATAAGAAACATTTCTCCCCATGTCCTCTAGGGGGCGCCATCCTTGTTCAAGCCTGTTCTGAAAAAATAAAACGACAGAATAAATCCATACTTTGTTTCTCTGCTTTGTCGTCAGACTGCACACAGACTTCCTGCTCAGGCAAACCCGTCCAGGCCGACAACGGGTTTTTTCCCAACTACAACCGGACCTTCACCTGGGACATAAAGGTTGGCACCACTCAGACTTTCCACCTGGACTTTCCAGGACCTGGATTGCAACAGATTCCCAACGGTGGGACGTGTCCAGATGGCCACACCTACTCCGTCATCCTCTACCTCCACCGCGCTGCCCCAGCAACCATCGGCACTTTCTGCAAAGGCGGCCCGGTGACCTCAGTACTGGGTCAGTACAAGGGCCGTGTGATGCTGACGGTGCCATCGGACGTGAACCTGGACCCTCCGGACTTCCAACTTAAAGTTGGACCTTACTCAGAAGGTATGTGGCTTGTTTAATACTGCAGAAGAGCACAGATGTGTTCCATACAAACAAATGTTGTCTGAAGGCGTTTTACCAAATAAAATCCAATTTATTTGCATAAAAGTGGATTTTTGCTGTTGCCTTTGGTGCTGGATGTGATGAATTGGGTCGGGTTGTTCGGGATGCTTCTGAGCTTCCTGGGCTGAGAATCATAAATTAAGGCTTTCCAATATTGGTAAGAAGGTGAATATATTATGTAAATCTAATCATTACACTGCAAAAAAAGTATTTTGGTCTAGTTTCTAATTTCTGGAATAAGACAAAACTAAATTACAAGAAACTTTAGCGCAACATATAGGAGGTTGTTTTAAGTCATGTGTCAAACTCAAGGCCCGGGGGCCAAATCTGGCCTGCCATAGCTTCTTTATGTGGCCCTCCAGACTCCAAATTACATCAATACGTCCCTCTGGTTTTTCACAAATTAGCAAAATTCACACAAAATCAACAGATTTTTTTCTGATTTTACTGAAATTTTTTCTCAAAATTATCCAAAAGCATTGAGTTTAAGTGACTGCTGCCTCAGCCTTACTGGTTATAGTCTGTGATTGATAAGGCAAATAATAAAAACTCACATTTAACATCATACATTAGTGTGAATATTGTAAAAATTCCTTACTAATATTTTTAAAATCTGTGATTTTAATTGCAGAAAAAACACAAAACAATCAGAAAACCCTGGATGAACTGATCAGAGTGAAAAGATGTTCAATATGATTTAATTTTAAGAAACACTTATTGAATGTTAAACAGATATGTATTGATAATTTAACAGTTTAATGGGTTTTATCAACACATTCTGGTACAACTGGCCCTGTAAGAACAATTAGATGTTTGATTTTGCCCAAAATGAAAACGAGTTTGATGCTCCTGATTTAAATCAACAATTCCTTATTATTGATGATCAACACTTTCCCCTATCAACTAGTTCTAGTACTTTTTCATCAATATCAAGTAATTAACTATCTTACTGAAAAGTTACATGTCAGTTGATTAGAAACTAGACGAAGAATGCTTTGTAAGATTAGTTTTTGCAGTGCAGCAGACGGTACAAGTTTTCTATCATCGTCATGTGACGTTTATAAATCCTGTCTTAATACCTTTAAATTAGGAATAAACCAATTTACTGGCCAGCCCATTTATCAGCAACACTTTCCTTCATTTGGGGGATTGCTGATGGTTGCATGTGAAGCTGATCTCATCCACCTCAGTAAAGGTCTACAAATCAAAAACTGTCCTCTCTGAGCGTTTACAGTTAACAATAGTCACTCCATTGTTACCAAATTCAGCAACTTTCTTGCTGTATTTAGCAACATTTCAGACAGAAAAATTGGTATCGGCCTAAATCTGAATCGGCTTTTTAAATATCGGCGGTCGGTCAGCGGACTGCAGTTGGTTCACCTTTTCTTTAAAAGGTTCCCAACTCGACTCTTCATGTGTGTGTTTCTCCAGTGACGGCCATAGTGAGAGTCAAGCTGCCCCGCGGCGTGTCAGACACCGAGTTCATCACGCCCAACTATCCCAAAGATTTCCCAGATGACGAGCAGATCCTGTGGGACTTCAGCGTTCCCGAAATGCACAACTACTCAGTTCAGTTCAGCGAGCACTCGGCCCCAGAGTGTCTGGAAGAAGGCGCCGCGGTGGAGGTGGAGTACCAGAAAGAGGGCAAGAACCCGACCAGAACGTCCCTGACGGGTCCGCAGCCTCAGCACCAGCAGGGCGGGTTTAATTTGACGGTGAAGAACTGCAAAACAAACCTAACGCTGCCGGGACTCAGCCTGCGCTACAGCGTCTCTGTGATGAGGAGCGGCCATCCAGGTGAGATCTGGGAACAGTCTGACTTGGACCATCATGTTTGGTCGAGTCTAAACTCCGTCTTTTGTTTTCTCCTAGTTCTCTGTACGCTGGATTTAACCAAACAGGAAGTGTCTGTGCAGATTGAGAAGGTGGGCTCTGACCCTCTCTGTGAGATAAGAAAGGACTCTAAAGAGGAAAAGACGATAAAGGTGGCAAAAGGAGAAACGGCCAAACTCTCCTTCCTCGACTGTCCGAACGAGGACCTTCGTCTGACTGCAACCGAACTTATTGGTAAAAAACCCCAATAATTTTCTAAAGTTTACAAAGAGCTTTTTGCTTTTGGTCACTAGTGAAAGTTAAAGATATAAATAAAATAAATATTTTTTTATAAAGTACCAGTTCCTCTAGCAGGTCATTTAATTTATAACAAGCTTATTTCTCTGTTTAAGAAGGAAATGATGAAGTTTATTTATATAGCACATTTACAACAGACTCAACTGACCAAAGTGCTTCACAAAACAAACAGCATAAATGATAAAATAGAAAATAAAATGTACTAAATATTATAAGAACAATTATAAAATTGGCAAAATATACCCAACGCTAATAATAAGATTAAGAAACAAAACAATACTTAATTTTAACAGCAGCAATTTTCTTCCATCCTTCATCTGTTCTCTTTAACTGGTGTTGAAGGAAAAAGGAAATTATGACATTGTTTTTATTAAAACTGTATAAATAAATGTAGATTTAAGGATGAGAATGTGAATTTAAGCGTCATTAATCTGGTCGGTGAATATGAGGAAATCAGAAGATTTTATATTTTCTACCTGTTTTTATTCAAATTGTGTAAAATTTTATGCAATGGGTGTGATTGTGTTATTTTCTTGCCTAGTTTTTGTAATATTTTTTTCCTGTGTTAGAAGTGGAACTTCTACTTTTTCATCAATATTAAAGAATTATTGACTTAAAACAAACTCGTATAACTTCATAAAAAGTTACTTTTAAGTTAAATTTGTCTTATAAAGATCTTTGCAGTAGAAACTAGACCAGAAGTACTTGATAAGATTTTGTGTTTTTGCAGTGTAATACTTAAAATTAACAGAAATAAATGCTTTAAGTAGATAATTCTGTGTGAAGTGAATTAAATGAGACTTTACTGCGTAAGAAAGGGATAGTAAGTTATTCTCTTGAACAGATTTTCTCCCTTCTCCTTGCAGCCTGTCCAAATGCATCGCTGTGCGCTCCGACCCTCCTCTTTGTTCCCACGTTGGATCCCTGCCTGCCGATGCCCCTCCACAGCTTTTCGTGGTTCTTCACCATCCCACATGAAGCCACCCTGGACCTGGTGTCTCCCACCGGGAGCCTCCGGCAGTCCCTGCCCGGGCAGGAGTGCGATCCGTCGTCTGTGGTGGGCGTCGGCGAGAAGGACGGCTCTTTTATCGGAAACTTCTGCTCCAATGGCGAGATCCAGAAACTCCAAATTCACTCCAACATCTCCATCACAGCTACGCCGCAAGACGTCAAGAGGTCTAAGGAGCCTCTGCTCGATGTCAGCGTCAGTCCGGAGATCAAAGGTGAAATAATTTATGCTCTACAGCTGCTAGGAATGATATGTCTGTAAATATATTGATCCTGCCTTGGAAACATCTTTACAGGAGATGCACATTAATTTTTCTCCTGCTGAAAAGGTGTGAAAACATTTAATTTATTTGTTTTATGGTAGCTCACACTGAGGAAAATCCAGCTTTCCATTATTTCAGTGGAGGAAATAAACTACAGTGGCATATTAAGACAGGAAAAAAAGGAGTAATAAATTTTTCAAATTTTGAGATTAATCTCAGGAAAAATGTGGAAATTTCTGAGCTTGAAAGTGAAACATATGCTAGAAAAAAGTTTGACATTTTAGATTAATCTCTTGAAAGAATTTGGAAATGTTTGAGTTTGGAAAGTGGAAAATTTTAAAAGTCAGAAATTGATAAAAGTCAAATTTTCAGCTTTCCAAATTTGAAAAAGTCCTAGTTTTTTTTTTCTTGGAAATTTATCGACTTATGAACATCAGGAAATTTACAAAAGTCAAGTTTTCGGCTTTCCAACCTCCAATTATTTTTTAATTTTCAAAAATTTAACATTATAAAAGTCAAATTTGACTTTTTAAAAGATGAATGTTCAGCTTTCCAAACTCAGAAAAGTTTTTTCTTTATAAAGTTGTTCCTTGCAAATTTTTGACTTTGGAGCTCAGAAATTTCCTTGTTTTTTTTTTCTGAGATTAATTTCAAAATTTGTGAGCTTTCTGGTGGAAATGTTCTGTTTTGATTTTATTTTACTTTATTTCCTTTCTTCTGTCCATAATGGTCCTAGTACATCGTCATAATAAACCTACCTTAACGGGGATTTTTAAAATACAAAATAAGTGGGAAGTCAATTATTGGAAAAAATGTCAAGTGCTCATTTTTACACTAACACATGATCTGTCTTTACAACTTGCATGAATCAGTTGAAGCTACAGGAATGTAGATTGTTTTGAGTCACAATCATTTGGTGTTTTTCAACACCTGAACAAAACAAGTTAAAACTTGTTCGCTGGCTGCTTCTCATGTTCTGGCTGAATCAAAAAGGGGTGGAAGATGTGATTTTAAGAAGCATTAATTCATAAGCAAAACACCCATAATTTAGTTCCAGTTCTTCTTATGTTCACATCTAAGAAATAAAATATAAAATGGTAATTTTATCTTTAAATTTTGGTTTTGATTTATTTTACTTCTTAGCATTTTGAATCTTATTAGTAATGGAATAAAGGTATTTGTAATTTAGGAAAATATATCTGTAGGACGTAGTTTTTATTTTCTCATTCCCTCCAGCCTCCACACGGGGGCAGTATTGTTTGCTTTTAGAGAAGCTCATTCTGCGTTATTTCCATTTCTTCTTCAGAAACCATCATCTACAGGATCAGCCCTAATTTGACTTCTCCCACCATACTGGTCACCCCAAACTGGCCTACTGGAATGAAGCCCCATTCCTCTGTCTCCTGGATCGTGGACCTTCCCTGGATGCACCATGCGCACATCAAGTTTGCCATCAGTGGACTCGAATGCGAAAACAGCCACACCAGGATCAATGTGAAGCACCAGGAAGGAGGGAGCGATCTCCTGGACATCAACGAGAGCGAAAAGATGAGGACAGAAAACACGACGGCCCGTCAGAGCTTCTACCTGAACGTGACCAACTGCCAGCCAGAGGGGCGCGACCAGTTTAATGTCAAAGCCACGATTGTTCTTGAGAGAAAGACCAGTAAGGAATCACTGTGGTGATTGATTCAAGACAGTTAAAAAACACAGATTCAGTATGTTTTTGTTTCTTCTCCACAGATCTGTTACCCATCCTTCTTGGTTTAGTCGGGGCTGTTCTGCTTCTGCTCCTGATACTGGTTGTTGTATGTGTAGTTCTAAGGTAAGCAGCATGTTTTTGTCCGGTAAGACATTTTTATTAGTGTTTGAAGGGGAAGTAAAATGCTAAAACATTGGTTTTGGCTTTTGATCAATAACTTCAACTCTTCTGTTTGTTTACACCTGGTGTCAATATACACGTAAATACAGTGAGTGCAAATTAGAGCATCAACAGCATTCTTGTTGGTTGTGCAGGAGACTCTACTTCTGCTTTTCAAAGATGAATGGTTGCATAATTGTGCAGTCATTTTAAACTGAGTGTAAGCATTGAGTTGGGATTTTGTGGCCAGCAGCAGCTTATTTGGATTTAAAGTGACAGGACGATCTAAAGCAGCTTGATCTGAAAGGAGGTTGAACTAAGCAGAACTGAACAGACTAAAATCTCACTATCTAAGAATGATTTAATGCAAAAAATGTAGTTAAAATGTTTTGGATGGTCCACAGAGATGTCCTAACCTTGTTCAGGGAAGCATAATAGATAATCTTTAATGATGTTAGTGTTTCATGTTTCTCTTCATCTTTTCCTGCAGGAAAAAGAAATCAAAAATGAACAGTCAATCCTCCATCTACATGGGGAAGGGAAACATCTTCCGTCCAAATGATGGGCACTTCGTCAAAACCCGGGCCGACAACGACTCCCACGTCTACGACTACATAGACGACTCCATGGTCTACGGCCACCTCCTCACCGACAACGAGAGTATCCCAAACGGGATGCAGGTGGACTCCTACCAGACCTTCACGGGTCCCACTGACAATACACTGCCGGTTATCAAGGAACCCGACCCAGAGCCGAAGGGGCAGTACCAGTCCTTCCTGAGCCCCTCTGACACTTTCCTGCCGCCCCGTCCGCGCACTCCCATCGGGCGGCAGGACAGCCTGGGCTTCCAGGACCGCCGGATGATGGATAACGAACTCTACACGTTCAAAAGCACGGGAGACATGAACACAATCCGTCTGTCCGGTGCCGATATGGAGCCGCAGCTGCCAATAATGGACGAGAGCTTGTAGCGTGAAAGGACTCCATGTTAATGACCTTTGACCTATCTGAAGGGCTCTAAGGATTGAAGAGCCTTGTTTCTGCGGGAATAGTTTTGGGAATCGGACCCGCTCTTTCTAGGAGTTGAGCTTAAGAGTGTTAAAGCTCCGGACTTGGAAGCTAAAAACTAAAATCTGTGACTTCTTGGACTGGTTTTTATGCTTATTTTGAAGAGAAACAACAAAAATAATTTCAGAAACTTTGTAAAATATTTTTCTACACTTATTTCAGTTTTGCCTTTGACTACTTCTTTTTTTTTTTTAAAAGTGTGAATTTTAAAAAATAAGGGAGACAAACTAATGTACCACTACTGATCTACAGGGAGAAAATGTGACAAATCTAAAATTAAAATTAAAATTACAGAATTCTTAGGAAGAATTTCTGTTTATGTATTTTGCAGGTACATCTCCCTGTACTTTTTGTTGTCCCTTTTGAGGCACAATTTCTAATTTTAATAAAACCACCTCTTTTTTTATTTTTTTAAGTCTGTTTTTCATTTCAGATTATGAAAACCACTCAATTTAATGTTTTCTTTTTTTTTTTCTTGTAAAATTAGGGATTTTTGAGCTTTAGTGCCAATAAATTTATCAAATACTGAAACGCCTCAACCTGTCACCATTGTTTTTTTAAATAAAATACAGAAAGTACCGTGTTTTCAACACTAGAGGGCGCAATGTCAATGAATAGTCTATTTTCGATCTTTTTTCATATAAAAAGCGCATTAAGCGAAACAAAACAGATAAGTCAGTCAGCGGTAGCCATAATGTGACAAATGTTTTGACAGAGCGCCGTATTCAACACAAAATTGCTTTGTAGTCAGTAAGTACAACCATAATTAATGTATAATTAATCCACTAGAAGGAGCTTTTTCACACTCTTTTGTTTCTTGATCAAATTAAAGGCTTTTAAGTGTGCCTTGTACTCCGGAAAATACGGTATATTGTTGAATATTATGCTTCAGAAATGTTAGATGGATTTTCCTCATGATAATTTATTGCCAGAGATTCAGTTTTTAGGTGTGCAATGTTACCAACATCCTACAGATTATTTTAAATTATTTTCTTTATGTGAATTTAATGACATACTAACCCGAAAAAGTACCGTTTAGCCAAAACTGCATTTCATATTCTCAGCCACCATATTGGATTTAAGTTCAATCCTGTCAAAGGAGTTTTACGTGAAAGGGTTTTTCCAAAAAAATTTTCTGACTTGAAACGTGTAAATAAAAAAAAAGAAGAAACCATTTAGCGTTTACTTTTAGAAGCACAATGTCATTAGCATAGCTAGCTAGCAGTAGCACAAACAAGTACAGAATAAAAACAGTGGGTATCCTGTCTCTGCTCACGTCACATACATATATTTTATCAATTGAACATATGATAAATGTTTCTTATTGCTGCTTTAACTGAATTGAAAGAACTTGCAGTTTATAAACTCATGATGTGTTGATTGTTTCATCAAATAAACTAAATCAGGGGACAAACTCAGCATATTATGCTGAGGGTTTCTGTCACTGACTGAAGCAGTGACTTTTGGAAATTAGACCTTTTCATTCTGCAGTGAATTCAGCCACAGAAGTTTGGAGTCATGGAAAAATATAAGGAAGAACAGGCGCCACGGAAAACTACTGGAAAAAAACAACTGAAGAAGCCAGATTTTTATGTCTGAACCTGCAGCCTTTCTTTACACGTCAGCTTTTCAGCTGCCCGTTTATTTCCACCTAAGTGATCTTACATCAACAAGTGCAGAAACTGATATTCAAAGTTTATTGAAAGAATAAATCACACAAGATATTACAGAAGAATACAGGACTGGTACATAAAAGGTCAATTTGCTTTAAAACAAAGTCTTACTCAGTTTTTGTGTCTTTTCATTTAAATACAGTTTAGACCAGCGGTTCTCAGACTACTGATTCAGTATTTAAAAGAGGAAAAAATGTGATGCTTAACCAATATTTTATGTCCAGAAAAGATGCCAGCACCTTTTCTGGACATACTCTGTTCAGTGAGTATTAAATAAGCCATTTTAACTGCATTCAGTTGTTTTTCTTTTTTAATAGAATGGACTGTATTCCTCCTGGTTTTACTGCAACCACAAGGAACGCTGCAAATGACATACCAGCACATCACTTTTGTCAAAGATAAAACCCACTGTGACCTCCACATGTCATTTTGGTCAGGATGCAGCTGAAAATCACTGGTTTAAACTCGTCTTTAGGATAGCAGGTAGCAGGGAGAGTGCAAAAACAAAGCAGCTAAAACAAAGTGCAGAGTTCATGTTGAGATAAACAGGATCAAACCAGAGGTGGCAAAAATACTCAGCCTCTACGCAAGTAGAAGTACAGATACTTTTATAAAAGAAAACTCTAGTAAAAGTAAGAACTTTTAGTCATACAAAATGCATAACTTTTAAGAGTTCACGACATGCTCTGTGTTGGCATAAAGATTAAAAAAATACTGATACGGTCTAGTTTTTGTTCAAACTAAATCTCTATCGGGGTGATTTAATTGCACAAAGCAGCGAATTCGTCACTAATCGTTCTTTGAGTCAACAACATGGGAGGATTTTTTAAATGAGGCAACAGACGGAGAATGTTTTGCATCTCCGAATGTTTGTGTACGATGTTACTCAGGTTAAAGCTGCAGTGTACAAATTTTATACCTAAAGGCCAAAAACTGTCAAACTGAAAGCAACTGGGGGCCACAAAATGTAGATTTTTAAACAATTTTTCTAAAAAATTGGAGAAAATCCAACATAATAGCTTATTAAAATAAACAAGTCTGACTTCAGTAGAAAAGCAAGCGGGAATTGTCGATCTAAAATGTAAAATCTAGCAAGTTTGATAAAACAACAAAAAATACAGGCAATATCTTAACTACTGATGGTTTTTCTGGTATCTTTGAATTTTTTGAGTGTATTTTTAGCAACAAGAACAGACTATATGTGGCCCATTCTTCTAAAACGTTTCCTTTTTTATTGGCGTTTACTTCAATTTTCTAAAAGCAACATCTGTTGCTGAGTAAAAGTTGCTGAATGTTTGTGGTTCTGCTTGCTATGAAATTTAATTAAATGAGTATTTGAGTTGTACCTTGCATATTTAGAAGACTTTCTCTGTATCTTTTTTGAAAGGCAGTGAATATTTCACTCTAACTTTAACTCTAACTAAAGGCCACATGAAATCACGGCGAGGTGAAAGCCTCCATCCATGTTGTTTTCCTCGTGTTCTGCTTCTGCTTTGAAATACCAACACTATAACACTTTTTGTGTGAGCGGTGGATTTTTTTCGTCATTATTTTTTCATCATATGTGAAAATATAAGGAGTGGAAAGTACAGATATTTCTCTTAAAATGTGGGGAGTATAAGAAAGATAAATACTCAAGTATCTGAAAATCTACTTAAGTACAGTAACTGAGTACTTTTACTTTCTTTCTTTGCACCTCTGGCTCAAACTATGTTGAACTCGCAGACTGAGGGCTTTTCTTCGCGGCAGTTTTCATCGAGCCACTTCCCGCCGGTCAACGACATGGCGCCGCAGTTCTGCGACTTGCCGCCATCCGGCTGAGGAGACCTGAAGTTGGACGCGTCCCAGTTTTTGTACGTGATGCTGGAGCCGGTTTGGTCCATCCACTGGCCCTCGATGGTCATGTCGTTGACGCCGAGCCAGACCTGCCCGTCCGGGCCGACGCTCTGACGGATGTAGTCCCGGAGCCGGTCGTTCTCCTCGCTGGAGGACGGAGTAGCCAGGACGCCGCCCAGGGAGTTGCAGTCCTCACTGGCGGTGTGGTAGCGCTTCTTCAGAGGGTCGGCCAAGAAACATTTCTTATGGATCTTCTCACCTCTTAAACAAACTGTGACGGGAGATAAAATCACATTTAGGTAACCAGCTTTGCTTTTATCGTTGTCTTTTGCCAGCAAACACAGTGAAAAACTTCACTGATATTGAATACACAAACACGAATTAGATGTTTAACATATACAAACAAAATAAAGCTCATATACAAAGTAAAATACATTAATATACCATGTGAGCCTTAATTCTGCCCAAACATTTAGGACACATACTGTCCGTATGATCTGCTTTAAATCCAAACTAACTTATTTTCTGGTTGTTGTCGGTAGGTACGGAAAGCGAGAGCGGACATTTTCCACAGACACTTTTTCCCCAAATTTCTGGTTTTCTCAATTTAACGATTTATTTTCCCATTTTCTGCATACACTTTTCCCCACTGGTTTTCTCAAGATAAGTTAATTTTCAGATTGTTTTCTTGAGATGACAGCTTACTTTACCAATGGTTTTCTATAGATAATGACTTAATCTCCAGGATTCTCAAAATAATCTAATTTCCTGATGGTTTTCATGAGTTAACGAGTTAATTTCCTGCTTTCCGCAGACACTTTTTTCCCAATGGTTTTCTCAAGATAAGTTAATTTCCAGATTGGTTTCTTGAGATGACAGCTTACTTTCCTCATGGTTTTGTCGAGGGAACGAGTTAAATCTTGAGAAATCAGACTTTATTTTCTCTATATAATGAGACGGTTGGTGTGTTTTAAACCTGATTTCATCCTTCAATTCAAGCCACATCAAGTTCATTTGTTTTGCACATTTCAGCAATAATTGCTTTACATCATAGAAACACAAAAAACTGAAAAATTAATTTGTTGTGCTCTGTGTATTATCACGTCTCGGTGCAATACACAACTCCACCAACAGATGTCAGTATACAACAAAAGAAACTATATTCTCAATACTTACAAGGAAAATTACATTAAATATGAACATGCTCATTTTTTCTGTGACAGCTACAGTCTAGACTTAAAAGTGAAATTTTAAAAGGAGCAGAATAAATAAAGGACCTTTTCACTAATTGTGGGAAAATGGCACAGAGAGCAAGAAATTATCATTTGAATGCAAAGAGTAAGAATCATAACTTCTCAGTGTGATTAGATCACAGATGTGGAAGGGCAATAACTCAGTCATGGTTTTATAAATAAAAATGTAACAATGTCCCAACCTCCTCCTAGTGGGCTGAAAAGGTCATCCCACCTGAGTGACGGGTCAAGGCTTTACAGTTAGTAACAAACCTCAGAAAGTGAGGATAGAATAAAATTTTGAATATTTTGTGTCTGTAATGTTGTTCAAACTTAGACACTTAGACTTAGACGTCCTTTGTGTTCAGAGCAACAGATGACACATGTGTGGACCAGATGTTGAAGTTTTCAGGCTGTTTCTTATATTTAGGATATTTTTAGACTGTTGGCTGCAGGCTGGTTACACTCTGCATGCTCTGAATGACAATCGACCTCAGACAAAGGTCATGGTACAAAGTATGAATCTTCATAATCAATTTATGGTTAAACCTTAAAACAAGTTTTAAAGGGTAAAAAAAGTTGTTCTAAGTATTACTTCAGATTTTCTAGTTGGTTTTTATTAACAATGTTTAAACAGTACTTTATTGTGAGAACGTTCAAATCTCTGCGGTGTGAAACAAACTTTTTCCTCCATTAAAAGTGAGTAAAAACAGAAACATAAAAATGATTTACTAACATGTTAAAAGATGTTTAGCTGGTAATTGTGTAGCAAAACAGTTGAAGAACTTTTTTATGGATTCAGGATCCAAACTCTAAACATAGCATTAGAATAAGGTTTTCTACTGGGAAATATTATTATTAATAATATGAATTTTGGATCAGTAGAAAGGATTTGCACAGTTACTTTTACTTTAAAACTACTATTTGCCAAACATGGTACTTTCTAAGGACTTTTTGTTCAATTTGAATGGTAATGGGAAACAACACAGTGCAAGATTAAAATATTTGTACATGTGAAATTTAAGTAAATACGATGATAAAATCTGTGTGAGGTAATAAAATCAGAAGCTTCTAGATTGGAAACACATTTCTGATCATCTGCTCTAGTTTGAGATCACCTGATTGCAGAGCTTGTTTTTCCTTCAGCAGGTTCAGATCCTGAATGATTTCATCAATCCGTTTCTGCAGCTCCACCACAGCAGCATCCTGCAATGTACCTGATTTAAAACAAAATCTGAGTAAACAATCTGCACAACAAAAATGATACAACAGTACACTGCAAAAATATACAACCTTATAATTATGAAAAAATACTAATTTCATTGGCAGATTATTTCATTTATAACATGGGGAAATGGTCTTGTTATAAGTAAATTTATCTGCACTTTTTATTTAATATTAAGGAATTATTAACTTAAAACAAGCCTCTACATCTTGCTGATAATTTACTTTTAAGTTAGTTTTGTCTTTGCACGAGTAGAAATTAAACTATAAATACTTGGTAAGATTTGTTGCTTTTGCAGTGTTCATCATGCAGGTGAGGTTATCCATCTACCTTTCTTCACCGGCTTCTTCCTGGTTGCAGTCTGCTGCAGTGAGCAGTGGATGAGCAGCAAGACGCCCAGCAGAACAGAAACTCCTCTGAACTCCATCCTGGACCCTGTTGAATGTGACTCCGACGTGGACATTCACACATTTATCCGTCTCCCTCACCCCCTCCCATTTGTCCCTCCTTACAAAGGAAAAGTACTGGAAGAGTCGTTTGTGGGGAACGGCAGTCCAACCTCAGGAGCCTGGAGGAATGGCGTGCCGAGGCGTCCCATCTGGCTGCAGCCTCCTTACGTGGAGCCAGCGTCCCGAGCAGAGCCAGGCCCGTGAGGCAGGTGCAGACAGGGCGGGACGGTGAGGGCCAACCATTACATAACCCTTCAGAGGCTTTCATTAAGCGGGATGGAGAAGAAATAACCATATTCTTCCACTGAATAGACCAGTAGTGTCCAAACTTTGAGTTGAGAAAACCCGAGGGCCACATTTTTAAAAATTAAAACGGGAAGGTTTCTATTTCTGAAGACATTTGTTGTTTTTAAGTCTTCAATATTATACTAAATAGACAATATTTTTTAATAAACATATAAAGGGTATTATAAATAAAATCTACTATTAAAGCAAAGTAGTCTAATTTTTGTAGAAAAGGAAACTAAATCATTGTTGATCCAAAATATAAACAGAATCTTGCACAGTTGCTGTATTGCTGTATTAAATGAAAGGTACATATTTTCCAAAACTTTTCAGGAGTTTATTATCCTCGTTTTTTTCTTTTGGCAACAAAGGTTGGGCAGCGCTTGTTTATTTCAACAAAGTGTAAAAAAAAAAAAAAAAAAAAAAAAAAAAAAAAAAAAAAAAAGAGGAATCGTTTCAACCAAAAAAAAAAAAATAAAAATTTTTAAACCCGTAAAAAC